GAGATGTGCTATGAGAATATGCAATAAAAAATAGGGTGTTCCATTTAAAAAATTCAACGTGACTTTGACTTGACCTCAACGACGTCAGTCAGGATCAAACTGATGAGACTAATGAATAGACTTTTTTAAATCCTACAACTTTTATTTGAAACATTTTTCTGTAAAACTTATAATATATTTTTTGAGATTTTTCAGGGTTTCCATATTTTTTCCTCACCCTGTATAACGATTTTGCAGATAAACTACCAATAAATATATTAAACATATGCAGAATAAAATAGACGTGTTAGCTAGAATATGTCAGGCACATAACTGAAGAATTTTGTTTTTAAATATACCTTGTCGGTCATTATATACGTACTGTGGAAACATAATCGTCAATAACAAATCATAAGATTACATACAGAACTAGAAGTTATTACACATCGTTTAATATCGGTAAATAAATGTGATGTAAGCCATCGGTGTCGGATCGCAGATTTAAATCATTCTTTTGCATATGAATGTAAAGAAATTCCGAGATTAATCTTTTGTTTAAATGAGATTCTATCCAGAATTTCGACATCCTCCCAGTAAAAATTGTGATCAAAATTAATTCTGTGTTCTGTGATCACCGACTGATTACTAGTGTTCCATCTAATATAACTCTTGTGTTCATTTATTCTAGTCTTCAATTTCCTTTCCGTTTGACCCACATATGTCGCATCGCAATCATTACACTTAATCTTGTAAACTGCATTTTTCTTTTCGCATCTCGGAAGAATATCTTTTTACACTTTGATGTACCTACTCAGTTTATTCAGGCTCTTAAATACTAATTTAGTATTTATTTAGTATTTAGTGGTTTTTTTAGATTTTGCCATCAAATCTGTCAATTTGCTGTCGATTCATCTCTTATACATAAAGGAGAGACATATACAATTGCTAAAGAGGACTCCAAAGTGAGTTGAAACGTACAATTTGATGGAATAAAGGATTCGAAGTAAAAAAATTGCTTTTTTACTTGCGTACGGATAACCACGCTGTTGCTCTCATTTGCCCAGCTTATTTACCATTATTGATTTTAATTTGGAGAATTCGTACTTTCGTACTTTTTATGGTTCTTAATTTTTAATTAAAAAATTGTGTTGTTTTAATTAAAATTTAGTTAGATTGACTAAATTTAATTAAAAAATAAGAAGGTTTTTGTAAATCAACAAAGTAAATGGCGACTCGTACCAAATATTTCTCTCAGTATAAATACAAACGTGTTTAAACGCGAGAAAGAAAGCTCACAAATGCACATTACCTTCAATCCAATATTAGTTACGACTAGAAACATTACGCTGACGCGTTTTAATTAGCTCATCTCGAAAAAAACAGATCGAAGAAATTTCCGCTAAATCATAAGCAGCGTAACCAGCTATCGACTTAGCTATCTTGATAAGATTTCTGTCTGAATCGTTGATGAATGTTTCGGCAAAACCTTGATTAAAATAAAAGTAAAAGGAGAGAAACCGAAAGGAACAAAAAAAAATGTCTTGTATACGAGTTTATCGAGAGCTGCACTGATTAAATAAAGGAAAATTTGATTCTCTCACCGCAGAAATTAATTAAACCCAGATCGCGTATAAATTATCGCTTGCGATGTTAACACGACGAATATAAAACGATGCAAAGCGGCGGTCTGTGCCGCATTCGCTCTGTAAAATTAACTCTCCATATTCAAGATTTCGACATAATTGATGATGCTCTGGTTCTTCCTCAAATATCTCTAAAGTTTTTCTGATTCGAACAGCCTATATTTGCGTCAAACAAGCATTTTTATAAAATCCTAAATATCTTTTCAAGAATTTTGGTATTGATATTTAAATCGATGTTAACATAAGTAAAAAAAATTATGACTATTTTTTGTACAGTGAAAAATATGAAGGTAGTACTCTGTTTTCGAACGCTCTCATTTTCCAATTGCCAGATCTCTTTGAGGAAGAGCCACAGCTCTACGAGCTGCATCGAAATTCCGAAAGCGGGTCATTAAGTTTACAGAAGCGTCCTACTCGCCGATCACAAACACGTTTATGGCATCGTATCTCTTAAACACAACTCAGGAATCACTTTGGTACGCCAAACAAGTAACGTAAGCACTAACATGCAGTCGCACAGTACAGCGCCATAAACTCGTGCCAACTATCGACATAAAAACTGTTCCAAGACTCTGCCTGTCGCCGAAACATTTAACTGGGCATTGTATGTACGCTAAAAGGAGCATGCTGTAGAATACAAAGCTCCAGGAGGAAGTCAAGTGATCGGGGCTGTTATGTATGTGATTTCAACTACGGGCGTCCGCGTAGGCAAAAGTTTCCTCGTGTTTTCTAAATATACGAGCATGAAGTATGCAGAAGCGCGGATACGATCGAAGAGATTGTAAACATGACAATTTATTCCGTGGTAAAAAAAAAATAAGGTTCTCGAACGGCAGTGACAAAGTGTGGAATTATGCGGACACCATCGGGGTTAGTCGCGGGTACAAACGTATGCGCATTACATATATCGATTACATAATAGCCCTGACGAACTTTTAGAAACTGTGAAATGTATCTCCACAAAAGAAAAATGAATAATTTATATGGTAACAACTTATGTTCATGCAGCTATATGTATGTATATCTGATTCTCTTTAGTCAGCCTGACTGATTACGCAATAAGACGGAGACTCGCATTAGCTGATAGTAAAGATGTATCGACATGCCAGGCCTTTTGGATTGAAGTCATGATAATCGCGTGGCCGGGTCAGGATTATTTTTTAAACAGTTCAGCACAGTCGTTCGTAATCGTATCTCGACGATTGCGTCGAAAACGATAATAAGTGAAAGAAGAAATAGGAGATAATATTTCGATTTTTCTTCTGCCTCTCTTCCGTATTTTAATGCTTTCCAATATCCCGTAAGAGACGGTTTTTTAAACTAGCTTTTAGCAAAGAAAGACATTTTACTTGGTCATTGAAGGATTACGGGTGTTTTGTTCAACGCATAAAAAATAATCCCTCTTTTCGATGTAACTAGTGGTGTCTTTGGTCATTTATCTTCATGCAGTTAAATAGTAATCGGTATGTTCGGTATAATATATCTCGTAACAAAGCCACCACAGTAACAGGAAATGTGTAGTAGCAGGACTCACCCATAAAGTCTGCTGTCCCGCAAGCTGCTCCTGCTCCGAATAACACAGAAAGCACAGTTACGATATATCGAACACAATTGTAGTCGTCGTAGTAACGAAATACGGAAATCAACGAAAATTATCCAATTATCCAGAGAACCATGAAATAATTGATTTATTAAAATGATACATATACAATACGTTAAACAAACAGAATGTATTCATTTGGCCTTGAAAATATAACAATAAGATAGCAAAATCACCAACTCGCGACTCGAATCAATAACGTATACATAACTCGAAAGGAATCGCAATGCCATTAAGAAATCAAATAAATCGGCATTTTACATGACCGATGATTATTCTTTCCTATGTAATACAGAGCTGACACGTTTTCACGATCCTCTCCCGGAAATCTAACAGAATATCTGAACTGATAAGAGGATCAACAGCGAGATAGCTGATTTGTACGTCGTTCGCAATATTCCGCAAATGAGATGATAAAATTACGTTCTGTGGTGTTTACACTTTTCAGAAACTAATAACCTACGGTTACTTGCTTCATTTTTTTACACTTTTCTCGTACAATAATCTCGTTACATGATTCGCAATGTCGTGCACGTTATCATTTCTACTTGCTATTCGATTAGTGTTGCGTCTTACTCGCAAGTATATGTAAAAATGTACGTACTTTTCCTTGCAACAGCTTAACAAAAAGAAGTTCGAAATATCGGGATTTGCAATAAAGGGAAACCAAGCAAGTGACGAAACTTTAAGGCGAAATTTACAAACTACTTCAGCTTGTACTTATAAATATGTACAAATAATTAAGTTCCCGTATATATAAGTAAAACTTAATTTCCTCCCCCTAAAAAGAACGAAACTTTATCACAGTTCAACTTCTGTTATTGCTTCGAACAAGCAGCGATGCATGCAAAAATGCGTAGCGTTAATAATAATAATTAATATATACTATATCCCGGGAGTAGAGTTATAATACAATAGAGAGAATATTACGAGAGATTATATTAATAAATTATAAAATTCCTTCTTAAAGATTCGAGAAGTTCCTATTATAAGTAACAAACGTATTCGTTATCGAATATATAGACGGACGGATGAACGTTCGGACGGACGTAATAACAGTATATTGTACACCAAGTACAGTACATAGAATAAGTTTATCTGAATCTCTTTAACTCTCCTTTCCTCGTGCAATTAATGGTTGATAAATTGTGCGATTATTAGTTCGAAAACTGTAAATTTCGATTTTCTCTTACTTAAAACGTACCCAATATGAGTCGAGTCAAAAATAAACGGGATATACAGATTGAGGGGAAGGGGGAGCTATCGCGGATTTAAACTATACATACTATATACATGTATATATAGGTATACCAGAGACCTCCTTTTAAAAGAAATTAAAGAAAGGCGGATGCAGAATATATATCCAACTATGTATATAACATTTTGCTATTATGGTACGTACTGGGGAAGGTAATAATTTGCTTATGTGCTGCATACCTGTCGTTACCATGCCTGAATAAAGCTAGAATCTCTTCGAATGTTTTATTCTTGGTCTCGGGAACCTTCTTGTAGGTGAAGATCCAGAAGATGGCTAGAAATGCACTGAACGGTAGGAACGTGTAGTTTTCAAGGCTACTCTGTAACATGCAAACGTATACGCACGTTTACATATATATATCAAATCTAAATATATATATATATAATAGGATTATATAATTATGTAATTGTTACATTCCATCATATTAATTAATAACAACGTTAATAAAACAATTATAATTGTAATATCCGTTAGCGTTTTCTTCCGTCGAGTTTAATTATTTGCAATTATTCAATGACTCGTATAATCGTTCAGTTATTTAGCTCGCGAATAGAGGAAGTTTATTTAAAAAGAATCGATCGTTGTCTTACCTTCATGCTTGGAAAACCGATGCCAACCAAAAAATTAGCCATCCAATTGACGAGAACCGCGATGGACATGGCGGCAGGTCTAGGGCCTTGCGAGAACAGTTCCGCCGTGATCATCCAGGGTATAGATCCGGGCCCCACGGCGAAGAATACGACGAAGCACAAGGTCGACACTACCGAGATGTAGGACATCCAGTCGATCATTTCCTGCACATAGCCAAAGAACTCCTATCAGGCAGTAGAATTGTGTTCTTCTTTCCTGAGCAGCTGGAGGAGCCTCAGGAAAAAATAAAAATAAAAAAGTACGGCAGGCCAGGAACTTAATCGAAAAACTTTCGGATAACACATGTCGAACGTATGCGTAATAATTTGTAATGCCGCATGCGGTGCGCAGCTCAACCCTGTGTAATGAAAGGCATTGGCATTGACAAAGTGATTGCGGCAAAGTATTTTGTATTAACGACAGAGTGCCTTGTTATGTACAGTACAATCTCTCGTTAAGCGGTGAAGCACGGTACGCTGCTTTCCATGATGAGTGCCAGGATTTGCTTTGACCTCAATTAGAGTGGTAATGCGATCAGTCGTACGCGCGAAACATCTAATGTGCAGATGGTCTCGAATTGAATTTTTCTTAAATTTTTCTTAAATTTTTCAGAAAAAAAATCTATATTATCGGAATACATATATAGCTGTATATCTTTTCTACACTTTTACGTACGAGAAAACTGAATCGTGTCCTCACAATATTCTCATAAGAATATTATAAAGTTTATAATATTCTCATAATATAAAAAATTATAACTCATAATATTCTTATAATATCCTCATAATAATAGGTACGGGAGATGCGAATTTACACGACGGTTCTTGTAATTAGTGGTACAAGAAGTTGTTACTAAAAAGCGAATTATTCTTTCTTGAATCCCGTAACGTGAAAGCGTCGGTGCTAGACATTCAGCAGCTAAAGAACCGTTAATTTTGTATACAAAGGATAATAATTGATATTAGGGACTTCGCGAATAACATGTTAATTGTTGATGTAATGTGATATATAGAGAGTGACAGGTTTGAGCCAAGTAGAGAACATAGGCTGATTAATAAACGGGAAGTAAATCTCCTCCAGACAGTCACGAAAGAGGTCGTCAGTAGTGAAGGGGAGGAGGGAAGCGGGTTTCATCAAAAAGCAGAACTACTAGTAAGCCAGAGTAACGAAACGGCGTGCGATATACGATACATGCGACACTGCTGCATTCACATTTTTTCTCGCGCCTCTATCGATTACTTAATTACCCGTTCAGCTAATAGAATTATTCAACAAAATAAGGCTTGTACTTAAGCAAAATCAAGACTGATAAACGAACATAAGGGATAAATTTAGTAAAAAAAAATGACGATATCAAATTTATTCAAAAACAATAATGATACAATAAATTAAATATTTTCATTTCTTTACGGACTTTATCTCTTATCTTTGTTTATTGGCCTTAATTTCATTTCATTTGCAGAATCGTTCAATGTTATAATAAAAACAATTGCTAAAAATATCTATTTAAAATATCTGTATTAAGAATTATTTCGTTTCGTATTTCAAAATTATTTCGACAAAAAATTTATACACATAAAGCACGTACGTGTCCATGTATCGAGATATAAAAATTTCTATATCGCAAATGAATGAAACGGCATGCGGGCAAAGGACGTGACTTATTGGCTACATGTGAATGGCGGGGAGAAATTAAAATGAGTCGATTCTTTGATGCAAATTCGTATAGATATAATGGTGATTCTCACTGTCGGTGCAGTGCCGCACTCCAGCTGTGAACAAAGTGTTAAGTACACCTTTCGCCAAGGTGCATAAAGTGCCAAAGCACAGATACGTAGCTACAATTCACGATTTTGTGATGCCATTTTCCTGAGTAAAGCACAGTTCTTAACAGTACGGAAAAGTATTTATAAATAAATCCGCCATTATCAATGTGTGGAATCTCCGTCTTCTATTATATTTTTCCAAACAAGATAAATTATTCTATGTAATTATTTAATATATATAACGATATATATTATTTTATTATCAAAATTTAAGTTACAAAAAATCTTACTTCTTCAGTTATTAACTTGAAAAGCTTAATCAAAGAATTCGACACCAAAAGAATAAGCATACGATTTAAAAATTTTTTAGATTCCTGTGATAAATTCCTCTTGATATAAGTATACAAGTCATAATTTATCAATGAAAGATCGTATAATGAATATTCGTGAAAAAATTCCAGTATCCATAATATTGAATTTTATTATCTATTTTTAAACCAACGTTAATTGTCGCGTACGTAAGCAGTAAGAAAACTCGATAAATTGCTTGTTATAATCTATCATTAAAATAACAAGAATGATAAACAAGTCATAAAAACGCGATAAAATTTCAACTCACCTTTATGAGAAACGAAATTGTGATGAATATTGAAAAGATAAACATGCCACCAAGACCATACAAGTGCAACGTACGCCTTCCTGTCCTATCCATGAGTGGGATAGACACTAGCGTCATACAAACCATGATGGCACCTATGCCAATGGTTGCAAACTTGGCACTCTCATCCGTTAAACCAGAACTAGTGAACAGATTCGTGGAATAATAAAATACCTAGAACACGCAATAATTTTACGTCAGATTGCTCCAATTAATTAATCCAGATCGACCCAGTAACGAAAACGGAGCAATTGAACAAAAATAGTTACTTACGGCATTGATACCCGAAAGCTGTTGCGAAAGTTGCATAACCACACCAATAACGAGAGGTGCTCTTAGAGTTGGACTGCATATAAGCTCTGTCATCGATATCGTGGACTCAGCTTGTTGAGCTCGTTCCTCCGCTCTCATCTCCTCAATGTCTTCTTCTACTTGGTTACTGGCTCTCAACCTTCTCAAAGCTTTTCGAGCCTCTTCCTCCCACTGTTTAGTAATGAGCAAATATCTGAAATAATTTTGTTTTCTAATTAATAGACTGCGGCATCGCTGATGTATCAATTAATAAGAACGTAAAAAATCGTGGACGGTACTTTATTATCGCGTACAATCCTTCAATCAGGCTCTTTGAAGAATATACTTACAAACATCGGAGAAACAAGATTTCTTATAATTATAAATAATATTATATTATTTTTTCGACACACACCTTGGAGATTCCGGGCATACTGGAAGCAGCAGTAGCTGTAGAATGGCAGGGCAGATAGCTAGTCCTAAGAGAACGGGCCAACCCTCGTTTGTTCCAAGGATTTGCTCGATGCCCAGCACCTGGGAGACCAGGAGGCCCACCGTAACAGCGAGCTGGTTCACCGTGCCTAGGCCGCCTCTCAGGTTCAATGGCGCTATTTCCGATATGTACATGGGAACCAACGAGGTGTTCAAGCCACAATTGACACCGATGATAAACCGTCCAAAAAACAGCATCTCGTATGACTCAGCAAGTTTCGTGAAACCCATCAGGCACGCCCCCACGATGCCCAGCACGTTGTTTAGCAGTAAGCCTCCCTTTCTGCATTCAAAGCAGAAGGCCAATATTAATTTCTGTCTTTTTCCGTTTTATGATTTTTCGACAACCATTACTCTTCTAAAGATCTTTCCAATCGAAATTTTTAGTAAATACATTTAAGTGTAGCTTCGATACAATCTTTGTAATCATATCGAAGTTACACTTAAATGTATTATATTTACTAAAAATTTCAATTGGAAAGATTAAATTGAAGGAAGAAGGAAACCCAATACAAATATTCCAATTTTATGAAAAAAAAAGGATACAAGTTGTAATTATAATGATAACTTATATCGTCTTTTTCTTTCATAATTATGCATGTTATGTATTATATATATTATAATTTGGAAAGCACTGGCCTCTTGTTTAAATGACCCCACACTAGTTATATTAAAAATTTTCTATATAATTAGTGCGGGATCTTTTTGCGAAACTAATATGATATCGCTAAACCAGAGACTGACCTGCCAAATCTGTTGGCAATTGTCCCTCCGCTGAAACCACCCACCATACCACCGATCGCGAATATGCTCACGGCCACAGAATACAAAGTCTTAACAGAATCATCCGAAATGTCCTCCCCGTACCTATCCTTGTATACATCTTTCATAAAATTCTCTATGTTCTGCAAACAGTTTGAATACATTATACGAGTGTTCGCTTATAAAATTATTTGAGACGTATATATAGAGACTTTACGTTGATGACGTACCACTTCAGGCGCGTTAATCACTCCAGTGTTGTATCCAAACTGCAACATTCCCAACACGGCAGCTAGTATCGCGTACGACAGGAAAAGCGTCAATCCCTGGAAAATATCCGGATTTATCGGATGGGTTCCGTATGAAATATAATTAACAATAACACATATGCGTCACGTAAGTAATATTTAGCACAACATGTGCGATATAAAATAATAGGAAGGGAAATGCTAATGAGGTGCAGCGTAAATGTAAGATAAAATAAAAGTACAAAAACATATAAAATTATTCCACATAATTTTTATTAACAGCATCATGAAAATCATACATTGCTGAGAAGAAATAAAAAATCATAAATAATTTAAAAAAAAAATCACACACACATACACGATCATTCATAGCAACTCAAGTTCTTAAAACATAACGAAAATAGATAAAACGAAGAGAAGCAACATTGTCTAACGCCAGGAAGTCACCTGCTCCAACAGCCTAAGTTTCCGCCGATGGGAGTGTTCTTCCAGTCGATTCACGTACTCTCGTAATTCCTCTATCTCTTCCTTGACCTGCTGTACCGTATCTAGTTCTTGCTGCGTGTCAAGAAAAAGAACACCTCAAGTACTTCCGTACATACCAATTGCAATTTTTACTGAATTTTTTTTGAAAAAGCGGTAAAACGCTCTTTCAATAACGTGAAGAATTTATATTCTTAGACATCAAACTTTCTATTAATCTAACTTTATTCTTTCTCTTCTATCACGTCACGTACACACATTGATTTGCGACAATTTATCTACTCTTACATATTCCGCAATTTTAAATATAAATATCGTTTTCCTATAATCCTTACTTTTAAATATAAAACCAAACGGTCCCTCCGAATTTTTTATTATTAAAAAGAATGATAAAGTCACTTTGTAGTAATTTTTCATCGTACTTTAATCTACACGTAGCAAAACGTGTTTATATTTTTTATATTAATGTTAATAATTAAATATCTAATTTAAAAGAAACGACGAACAAATATATTTTACTCTTTGAATAAAACTATCATTAATTTAATCTCTTCTAGAGTAAGATTCTCTTTCATGTTTTCTCTTTTGTCTCGATATCGATATTTAGTTTAAATTGTTAGTTTAGATAAGTAAATAAGAAAAAAATAGATGTAGGTACGTCAGCTAGAGTGTACCTTAATCGTGACCATATCCCGTTTCACCTCGCTGACCTCGCTCTGACAAGACTCTACGCTCTTCGTGAGCTCCTGCAGCTGCGTGCGGATCTCGCAGAGAGCGACGGTGGTCTCCAGCTGGCGGTCACCCCGCTGCAGCTCGTCCAGCTTGGCACTCAGGTTCATACTCATAACGCTGACCTGTTTCTGCAGACTGTCCCCACACACATAATCCCCGCGTGAATCTCGCTGATTCGTACGGGAGAGCGAATCGACAACATGTGTCGAGCACACTGATACTAGACGTTCAAGGCTAGAGCTATTGCCTAAGTCCCTAAGATAAGTTCCAACTACCTCCGCGCTTAACTGCCGAGCCTCTCCGCCTGCGAGACCGTTTAGCGCGGCGCGTTTTATGTGCATGTGGTTTATCTGTTACCGCATATACTTGAAGTATGAGGATGCAGAGTTTTGCGACGTTGTGTAGAATGAAAAAGAAAATACGATTCGACAGGTGCAAAGTGCGAAACACCTTCAACCCCCGAGAGCTCGAAAGCGCGGCGAGCCGGCGTTAGCTCGGCAGCCATCATGGGGAATGTTGGGTAGATGTTGTAATATAATAATACGTGAACGAGATATATACATATATATATGCGTGTATATAAAAAATATATACATACATATATATATAAATATTTTTTATAAATATACAATCGGCTCTCTCTCTATATAATATATATTTATGTAGTAAATATGTCAAGTTGCAGAAAACAATAGCAGACAAAACACAAACGCCACTAAAAGCACGTCTAGGGTGTGTGTGGTGAGTGTGAAGGGTGATAGACACTACAGTGGTAATATACATAGTATATATATATATACAAATATATTCTTCGCAGCTGTGCACATATTAGATGGAAGTTTGTGAATTCGCGTGTGTGTAGATAGACATAAGTACATACTAGTGCCTCAATATTTGCTGAAACGTCGGAACGATACTCTCCCCGTGAGTGAAAAGTCTATAGGATCTCGCGAACCTAACCGTATCGCCTTTGTATCGCTTTATGTATAATTATTTCTATGGCCATGATGCATGAATGTACGAATGAATGAAAAATGGCTGATATCTCGCACCCACTCTGTGCGTAGAATACGTATCGTGAAGGATCATGAGACGACTTTCGAACGACTCGGTGAATTGGCAAACTCATCGATCGATGTGCACAGCCAAGCAGAAAGGGTGTCTTAAGATGAGAATGTAATAGAATAGAGCGAGAGAAAGAGAGACCGAAAGTTTTTTTTTTTTTTTCTAAGATATATGATATGAGTGACAGGTGAATAGCAGAAATGAATGAGCACATGATTCGAAGGCGCGGATGATACGGAAAGTAAAAGACGTAGGAAGAAGACAAAGGGGTTACGGGCAGATAGACATAGAGAGACGGAAATATGTACACTTATCAAGCAAAGGATTGCACCACCTTCCTAATCGAATAAACGAGGAACAAAGACGAGTCTAAGAAAGATGGGAGATCGAGGATTCAAGCATCCAAGAGTCCATTCGAGGAACGCATTCAGGAGTAAGTGCAGCTAAGTGATCTATGCATCCAAAAATCGGGAGATTAAGTAATATCGTGATATGATACTTGATTGGAATTAATTGTTATTATTAAGAAGACGCATAACCAAAAGTAGTACAATTCTATTTTTGATATGTGTACATAAAGACAGAAACAACCCTCGTGGAAAAATACTATTGGATTAGTGAAAAACCTATTGGAACAAATAGTGTACAACGGTGTACTCGATTTGAATGGTTTTCCAATAATTTCCAATAGTTTTTTCGCGAGTCCAATAGTATTTTTCCGTAAGGGTAGGAAGAAAAAGAGCGGGGCAAAAAGAAAAAGAGAGAGAGAAAGAGAAAGAGAAAGAGAGAGAGAGAGAGCAGTGATGATGTTGTCATGTACCTGGGAGGTAGGGAGACCATGGCTGTGTTCCGAAACTACAGTAGCCTCTATGCCTCCCCACTCACTCCTCTTGATTCAGTATTTCGTCTTATTCTCACAAAGGTCTATTTGTTCTTTGCTTTGTTCACACGACATATGTACGTACGTTGGATTATCCACCAAATCCAATCAATTGACTCTGAACTGCTTGTTGTCAAGTGGTTGTCCACGGTAACGTACACGGCGGGAGGGGGTATAAGGCCCGACGACGCCCGCCCCTGCCTCCTCTCTTATCTCACTCTGTAAAACTTTACCTAGTTTGGAAACACAGTCGTGGTTCAGTCATAAAATCATGTCATAATGATATATTCGCTCGCATTTAGTAATCGTGACGTCCAATTCGCTTCTATATGTATATATATAGATAAGTATATATATATATTTAAAAAAAAAAGAAAAAAAAGGAGACGGAGCCGTCACGTGTGAATGGAGAGACTTTTCACACATCACCATGCGACGCACCGCCAGCTTACTCACCCCTGCCTAGCCGCCCGCGTCCACAAGCGAGCTTGCACAATTCGAATGGCCCATCACTTTATGCGGAACGAACAGTCGGCAAAATAATTTACAAAAATCAGCATGACCTCATGAGTGTGATAAAGAGAACGAGACACGCACACAAATAAGTCACAGCGACGGCACATCGAGCGACAAAGTAGTACTTAGCGTATAGTCTTACGAGGATCTACGACACGCGCAGCCCTCGAGGGACTGGAAGAGAATTCGTGCTCGTGACTAACAATTTGCGTTAACACAAAAGTGAGTGTGTCTTTTTTGGTCTGAGGTACTTGGAAAGCACATAGATTTTTCCAGTGAACTTTGCAAATCGCATCTATTATGTCAACGGATAGGATATTTCTTTTTTTTTCCTTCTCATTTAGAACATTCTTTACGATTACGTAGACAATTTCGTTGCAATCGCGATTCTTTTACCAATGGCACAACGGAATTTCATCGCGAGTCGCTTCGTTGAGAACTAATTGCCTGTGTCCCGGTATGTATGCCGTATATAAACCGGATATGCCATTACCGGTGCTCCGGTCTTTACTCCTCGTTTCGAGCTCTAGCGAGTGCTATTGCGGGCTTATTTGTGCACCTGACGTCGAGAGGGAGACATGATTTTCGAATGGAATGAGCAATCAGTGGTAAGCCTGCGAGCGCCGCAGCCAAAAAATTCAAGTAACAACGGTATATATCGGTAGTGTCTGATCATCGACTTGTTATGAGACCGAGAAGTGTGTAGTATGTACAAGAATAAGTTTAAGAGCGAGTGTGATTTATGTATAAATGATGAATGGCATGGCACAAAGCCTTGCATTGCATTCTCGGATACATAGAGAGTCTATATAAAATAATAAGCGGGGAAGACGTCCGTTTCTTTCTTCTTTTTCCTTTTTTTTTTACCTCCTCTTGTCTTTCTTTTTTTATGCCGGTCATGTGTTTGTCGTAAGGTAAGGCACCGCCACTTAGGCCGGAATTACCTGGATGCATTTGCAACACAGTTAGGTTCTCGAGAGAACGATGTTTATGAAATGGTACGGTCGTAAGGTCGTTTTCGTCAGTAGCAAAGCTTATATGAGATCGATAAAATAAGTATTATCGATTCGGGGGTGGCGGGGGGCGCACTTTAACACAGCGGACAAAAGAGAGCGAGGAGTGTCCCCTTGATTGGTATGCGAGTCTCGAGAGCTCATACACGCCGTTCTACCGGAGGTACTAGGCTAAGTTACTCGTGAGAGATTCAAAGGGCCAAGTCTCTCGTGACTGTTAACATTAGCACGATGGAGCTCCCATTATGCGAATCAACGGACAAGCATGTTCAAATAACCGAATTCTGCACGATAACAAGAGAGGAATCTGAAGTATTAGGTAAAGGAATATAATTAATTTACTTTCTTTATCTAAATTCCACGCAATTGCTGTAGCGTTTTTTCTGGTTACACTAATTTACAAAATTTTATGCAAGAGAGATTAAAGACCGTTTCTAAGGTAATTTTCGACGCTGAATCCAAATTGAAATACTTTCTTTTCCGTTCAGTTTTTGAAATATAAGAAGAGATATTTTTTCCAATGTACAGTAAAATTTTATTGAAAAATTAGAAAACAAATCAAAAATGTTAAGCGTGTAATTTTGTTTTTAATATGACTCCAAAGTCGTGATCCAAATTAGTTTCATATATTAAGGTCATAGCACACAAAAAAATTAAGCAAAAAATAAAGACCATAACGTAGGCAGTGACAAATCCAACATGTTAATTTCCTTACTGCTTATGCGGGGTCGTAGCGATCGTAAAGTCTTAAGTCGTAGAAAATTGACCAATCATAGTCGATTATTCTTCTCATATTCGACTGTGATTGGTTAATTTTCTACGACTTAAGACTCTACTGCCCAGTTCCACAACTCATGGTTAACTCTTAACTGAGGTTCAATTTGTATCTCATCTCTTTCCAATTCTAGAATTATAAAGAGACAATGAATAAGTTAAACCTCGGTTAAGAGTTAACCGTGAGTTGTGGAACTGGACCTACGAGCGCCATGACTTCTATTGTAGACCTCGCATTATATCTTACTGCTTAAATTTTTCTGTGTGTGTCGTGGTCCTTACAATTGGAGTTCAGTAGTAATCGCCAAGTGTGTTTTTGTCCTAATATCACCATGTTTCTCCATCATCAAATCCTGGTGGAAACCAATTCGCCTTGTTTATCACTTGTATCCAAATTACTCGGAAAGAAATGCTATTTCTTAAAAATTGACATGCTGTATCTTAAAAATGACATGCTATCTTAGAATTTACATGCTAATCTCAAAAAATTCAACCGTGAATTTTTTTGGCGATATATTCGACTCAGCGCCCAAAAAGTACATTTCAAAAAATTTCCTCTTTTTGCACTAAAAATGATTCAAAATTTGTAAACTAGTGTTATTATAACGCATACAACTCTTCTTTATAATTTTATTTGACAAGAAATGCGATTATCCGATGGAAATTTAAAAATATGGGACTGTAACTGCGATTAAGAGAACAATATTAGAAACAGAGCAGATCGAGAATAAATCACCTGGGAGCTGAACGTTCGAATAATGGTGACTCTATCATGCCGTGAGATTTAGGCGATAGGTATAGAGACTAGAAAAAGAAAACTTTCTACGCTTCACTCGTCATGAAAAGAGTAAAGTATGATTTCTATACAAGACCCTAAAAAGAGGTCACTACTAATGTGAAAGTCAATACAGAATTCTAAAGGCTAGACTATGTTAGAACAATATTTTAAATAGAAATTCTTGAACATTCGCTCGCAACATTCGCGGCGTTAATCCTCCACGACCGCCATTTTCGAAGGAAAGAGATTACGTGCAAACACCGAAAGTTCAATTCCCTTAATATTGCGTGTTATTTCTGGATCGCTGTGTCCGGTCGTAGAAGCTTAACGTTTCAACTGGCACGAACAATGCGAATACTGATAAGCTTTAAACCACTTGAATATGATTTTTAATCATCATGAAGGGATATTTTTGCAAAAGTCGCGAATAGTTTGCAACGTTGTGGTCGCTGACAGAAGTTGACGAAGTTTGCGATGGCCCAGGTCCTTCGCAAACTTCTGTCGGCGCTGCCCAACGTCCAACAATCCAGATAATTCTTAGAGACATCGGTGGCGACGCCAATTGTCCTTAAATAACATAATTCGTGTTTAAACATCGAGTTGTTACAAAAGCCTCGTTGATTTCTTGATTACATATAAGTCGGAATAATTACATAATTCAATGATAATAAGTCATTTTACAAATAATTGTTCTTTGATAACATAAAACTTTTTCTTTGTAATTGTAACAGGAAAGCAGTGTAACGATACAACTGAATAGTGTCATAAATTTATAAATTATCTCGCTTCTCAAAAAGAGAGAGAGAAGAGAATATAACCGTAATTATCGTTCCGTTCAATGGCTGGTATCTTATCGAGAGATCAACAAAACTTAGAACAACGATTCTTCTTCCTGGTGGCGTAGTGTGGTACGGAAGTTGTCTCGATAACACGCGATAACTGATGATTCGGAGTGGTGTACACCGACAACTGAGGGTAGGGAGAGAGGGTGAGGATACTCGATCGTCGTCTACGCGTGGTAGGGTGTACCTCTTCGCGTGGAACGTACCTTACGAGCAACTCCCGTAGAGTGGCTTCATCGTCCTCCTGTACCTCTTCCTGCGTCTCATTACTGTACGAGCCGCGGCTAGGGTGATGATGGCGGTGCTGCCTGCCGGTCGTCCTGCCGCCCGCGCCGGGGGGATACTGGCCGTGCAGCCCGTGATGATGGTGATGGTAATGCGCCGCCGAGGCGTTCGTGCTGGCTGAATGCAAGTACCGGGCGACGGTGTTGGTTGCGCTGGGTCGCCCCCTGGTCAGCTTGTGGCCGGCAGCCGCAGGAGGCGGCAGTATGGCGCCTGTACCGGGTTCCACGTGACTCCTGCGCGCGGCATAGCGCGCCTCCTCCTCCACCCTGACGATGACAACGTCCCGCTGACGCGGCGCCCGATCCGTTGGTCGCCGATCGGCCGATCCACTGCGCGACCTCGCGCCGCCGTCGGTCCTGCTACGGGGGATGGTACCGCTCCTCGCGATGATCTCCTCCCGGCCCGAATCAGTCCAGAAGTCGCTATCTCCAACCTGTACCCCGAAATCGAGGCTCCTCCTGCTGCCGCC